TTATTTATCCTTGTAACAAAAAGTCAGCTTTGAAATGATGATTATGTAAATTTTGAAATATGGTTTTATTTGTAAGTTATTGGCAATTAATTTTTTTCTTTAATTAAGCAGCTATTTACTGAGCATTTGCTACGTGCCAGGCCTTCTGCTGGGAAGGCATTGAAAATCCTGAACAAGATTAGGTGCAAAAACATGTCAGTCTGGCAAGGAAAAGTAGAGGCAGTGGTCTTAAAAAGCAACAAGCTGTTATGCCATTTATTTACTAATTTTTGTATTAGTCAGGAAACTAGTTTTTCATTTTGATTTTTATAAAGCAACATACACAAGAAAAGCCTATTAGTAGCATTAATATATAATAGAGGTAATGTCTGTGGAGGCTCGAGAAAAATAATGAGCTGTACCACAAGGGATTGGGCAGGGCCTTAAAAGACGAGCTGATTAGAGAATGGGGCATTCCCAGTAGAAGAAACATATATATCTAAGACATAAATACATGCTGTGTTTCAGAAATAGTAAGTAGTACAATGAGACAGAATCATACAGTACCTGGCAGGTAATATAGTGCAGATAAATTTAGAAAGATAAAGTTGAGGCTACATCAGCCATGCCTTTGATGCCAAATTAAGAAGTTTGAGCCTTTTTTTTTTCCCTCTTTAATTTAGGTCTGGAAACCCATTAAGGAAACCCCTTTAATCAGGAGTAACATGATCAGATTTTTATTTCAGACCAGTGTGACATCACTCTAACATAGCTCTATCCAGTAAAACTACAATGCAAACCAAAAGTGCAAGCCACATAGTGATTTTAAGTGTTCTGTTAACCACACTAAAAAAGTAAAAGGAACAAGTGTATTTAACTTTAATAATATATTTCACCTAACCTCGTATATCCAGATTATTGTTTTAACAAGAAGTCACTATAAAAATTATTAGTAAGATATTTTACATTTTTTATACTAAACTTCAAAATCGAATCTATTTTACACTTGAAGCACATCTCAGTTTAGACTAGCCACATTTAAAGTGTTTACTGGACACTGCAGCTTTAAAGCTACTCTATAGAAGATGAGTGATGATTGGAATGAGATTAGAAATAAGAGGAAGAGTCTGTTTGGTTAGTCCCAGTGAAAAATGGTAAGGGCCTGAATAAAAATAGGTGCAGAAGTGATGTAGTCAAGTAAACAGCTTTGAACAAAATGGTTTCACACTCTATGTAGTCTTATGCAACATGTTTTTTTTAACTCAGCATTAGGTTTGTACAATTCATCTATGTTGATGTGGGTAACTAGTTCCTATATCTTTTTTGCTGTATGATTCCCCATTGTAAGAATATACTAGTGTATTTTATCCTTTTCTTGTTGCTTTTCCTCTCCCCATTTTTTGATATTATAAACAATGTCACTATGAACATTCTTATATTTGTCTCTTTGGACACATGAACAAGGGTTTCTCTTAGATCTGTATACTAGTAGATCCTTCATGACATGTTTATTGCAAATATTTTCACCTAGTTTGTAACTTGTTTTACATTTAAAAGCTGACGATTTTTAAAAAATTCTTTTCCTGTAGTTGAATTTAATATTGTCTTACAGTTAGTGCTTTTTAAAAAAAAATCTTAAGAAATTGTTCCCTTCCATATGGTCACAGATTTTCTCTTTTATTGTCCTTAATTTTTTTAAGATTTACTTTTTACATTTACATCTGCAGTTCATCTGAACTATTTATTGAACAGTCCTTGCTTGTATTAATTATCTATTGTTGCATAGCAAATTTCCCGCAAGTTTAGCTGCTTAAAAAAACAGACGTTTATTATCTCACAGCTTCTGTAGGTCAGGAATCTGGGAGCAGCTTAGCTGTGTGCTTTAGGCCTAAGGTCTCCCATGGGGTTGCAATCAAGCTGTTAGCTGGGGGGCTACAATCACCTGTAGTGAGTGAGGCCTGAAGCTCACTCACATGACTGTTGGCAAGCCTCAGAGGATTCACTTCCAAGCTCAGTTGTGGTTGCTGGCAGTTGTTGGTTCCACTCCACGGGAGTCTCTCTAAGAGTTGCCTGGTATCCTCCCAACATGGCAGCTGGCTTCCCCAAGAGAATGAGAAAATTGAAGAGAGTGAGAAAGGAAGACAGAAGTTGCAGTCTTTTTATAACCCAATCTCAGAAAAGACATCCCATTTTTTCTGCCATGTTTTATTTTCTAGAAGCAAGTCACTATGTCTAGTCCATGCTCAATGGAAGAGAAATTAAGGTACACCTCTTGATGGGAGTTGTATCAAAGAGTTTGTGGGCATATTTTTAAAACTACCACCGTCCTTTTCTCAGTGGTCTACAATCCCAACTCTGGTAGATACGATTACTCTGTATATACTAGTCTATTTCTGGCCTCTTTATTCTGTTTCATCATCCAATTTGTGTATTTCGTTTATTTTTTCCAACCCTAAATCTGGCCATGTATATGCCCAAGACTCATTTCCTGTCCTTTTATTTTTACTGTGTATTCATGTTTGTTTATTTTGAGTGTCCATTCTTCTGTCTTCACCTATTAACTCTTACCAGAACATCCCAAAACTATGTGCTCAATATTACCTCAGACTCTTCATATCTGTAACCAGTCTCTTTTTCATATACCTCTTCTTCATGGAAATGAAATCCCTTGATATTTATTATGATACTGATGATGGCCTACAACATTCATGGGAGGGATAATATCAAGTGTTCAATAGTATAGGCTTTGATATCAAATCAGCATTGAATTTTATCTATCACTTACTGGGTGTATGTGACCTTGAGCAAAACCAAGTCCCTGACCTCTTCAAGTTTCCATTCTAGGGCCGGCCCGGTGGCGCACTGCTACAGTGCGCCGCTTGGGAGCGTGGTGGCGCTCCTGCCGAGGGTTCGGATCCCACATACAGACCGGCTGCTCACTGGCTGAGCGAGGTGCGGGCGCAACACCGAGGGTTGCGATCCCGTTGCCGGTCCCGGTCCGGTACGGGCCCGACACTGAGGGTTGCAATCCGTTGCTGGTCACGAAAAAAGACAAAAAGGAAAAAAAAAAGTTTCCATTCTAGGAAAAGACAGACAAACAATTAAGTACTGTGTCAGGCAGTGGTAATTACAGTGGAGAAGAAATAGAGCAGCATAAGTAGAGAGAATAAGTAGTGTGAGGTGGGGGGGGTGCTGTTATTTAATAAACTGTGGTGAGGGAAAAGACCTTCCTGATAAGGTCATACTAGAACAGGAAGCTATGGAAGTGGACAAGTGAACCATGTATTCCAGGCAGAGGGAAAAGCCAGTGCAAGGGCCATGAAGGAGGACTTCATTCCATGTCTTTAAGGAATAGCAAGGCGACCATTTTGTGTATAGAAATTAAAGGAAAAAGTAGTGTATTAGTTCATTTTCTGTTACAACAGAATGCCTCAAATTGTAATTTATAAGGAAATGAAATTTATTTCGTACAGTTTTGGAAGCTGGGAAGTCCAAAGTTTAGGAAACATGTCCGGTGAGGGCCTTTTTCTGCAGAAACCTAGGGTAACACATGGCGAGAATGGGTTGAGCAAGAGAGCTAACCTCGCTTGCTCTCCTTTTAAAGCAATCAGAACAAGGCCCATTACTCCATGAATGGATCAATCCATTCATAATAGCACAGTGCTCACAATCTAATCACTTCTTAAAGGCCCCTGAGGGCCCTTTCAAATACCATAATTGGAATTCCCACCCCCTTAACACTTACAGTGATGATTAAGTTTCCCATTCATGAATTTTTGTGGGACACATTTAACCCATAGCAAGTAGACATGAGATCAGAAATATTAAGGGAGAAGAGGATCTTGCAGCCCTTTATGTGAACTTAGGTTTTTATTTAGAGAGAGCTCACAAGCTATGGGAGGGTTTTGAGTAGAGGATAGTTTTCTGCCTTATAATTTTAAAAAATTGTCCTACCTGTTGTGTTGATGATGGAAATGAAGCTGGGTCAAGGACAGAAACAGGGAAGTTCATTTAGAAGGCTGTTAGTGTAAATCCAGGCAAGAGTTGATGGTGGTTTAAATCAGGAGGTGGTATAAGTGGTCAGATTCCAAATATAATTTGAAAACAGATCCATCAGCATTTGCTGAAGGATTGAGCTCTTGGTCATTACAATGTATCTGTGTTTTTTGCTTGTTTTGTTTTGTAGAAAATGTACAAATATAGAAAAAGGAATTATCTTTTTATCTTCTGTTGAGAGTTGACCACTGTTAAAACTTTTATGCATAACCTTTCTAGTTTTCTGTGTCTGCGTGGATGTAGATACATGTATAATGCATTGTTTAAACAAACTTTATATGTAATGAACATTTTCTATATTGTTAGATAATCCCCAACATTTTAATGGCTATATACTGTTCCATTATATGAATAAATTATTATTTATTTGATTCCCTGTCAACATTTAGGAGGCTTCCAGCTTTTTTGCTGTCATAAATAGCATTTGAGAGGACATTATTACATTTTCTTTTAAGTATATGTATGATCAGGAAAACAAATTTCCAACTACTTTTGAAATCTGGAAATACCCACAAGTGAGGCTTTACAAGCTAATGATTTAGCATCTCTTCTCAGCTCTCACAACCTCTTGGCTTTATAGCTTACCAGTAACTTGGGTTCCAAATAAAAATACTTCAATTCATCCCTTTTGATTGTGATCCTAATAAATGAGTCTTCCTCTGAACTTCATACTAATATTTAGTAGACACACTGAAGTATGAGCAAATGAATTGTTATACAGGCTTGTACATTTATTTCCATATTATACACAGGAAAATAAAATCACATTTGTTGAGATTTGCAAATAAATTTTTAAATGTTTTCACGCTACATTTAGTTTGTGATTGAGAATTTCTAGAATGTTATTGAGCCAGTTTTTAATAATCAGTGTACTTGCAGTTTTAATGACCCTTGTTGTTCTGGGTGCAGTAATGCTTCTCTCTCTCTCTCTCTTTTTGGGGGTATGTATGTCTCACTTTGTGTAGATTGCTTCCATCTTTGCTTTTGCCACCTGTGGAGGTTTTAAGGGCAAAACAGAAATTCAAGTTAATTGTCGTTCCAACGTTTCTGAAAATAAAACTATTACAGCTACTTTTGGTTATCCATTCAGGTGAGTTATGAATTTGTTTTTATAGCTTAACAACTTTTTATTTTCATATTGACTCATTAAGATTTCCAGTAATTTATTAATTGAAGTGGGTAGAAAATTTTAGATCACATGGTCATTTGTAAGAGATCATACTACTCAAACTGTGAGACACAGATTAGTACCAGTCTGCAAATTTTTTCTTGTCTATGATAAAATAAATATTGAAAGTGAGACTAAGCATTTAGAAACTTCTACAGCATTATGACATTGCCTTGACATTTTTATTGTTATCCCACAGTAGACTGGAAATTAAAAAACAAAACAAAACAGAGACTGCTCTATCCACCTTAGTGTGAGAAGCCCTAATGCAGAAGCAAAATCCAGAATTTTATGAAAATCAGGAATCTCATGTTTTTACAATTATTGGATAATAATGTTCTTTATAGAGTTTTAAGACATATTTATATGAAGTGAGGAGTTCCTATGTTTTATTGACTAATGTAAAACAATGCTTTCTAAACTAAAATGAATATTTCTAAACTCTTAACTAAAATAAATATTTCATTTGTGAAGTCTTCCGTTTGACTTCAGCATTCATTGAAAAGATTATTGACAGTATCCTATGTTTAAGCCAGGGTGTGAATCTTCCAGTTTCTACTTTACTTGACCTCACTAAGACTTAATTTTTCTGTTCAATAAATTGTAAATATTACCTTTTAGGGGTGTTTAGATGATTAAATAAAATCTTATATTAAAGATAGATAGCATGTGCTTGGTAATTATCAAAGCCTTTTTCTATCTCCTATCCCTTCTCCTGTACAGTTCTTGTATAGCAGCATCTTTAGTGACAAGCTTTTGCGATTTATGGATGGGGAAAATTAAAAGCAATGTGAATTTTCAGTTAGCAACTAATTAATCTAGGGTTAAAATGCGAATCATTATTATAATTGACTCTCCTGGGGCTTGTCATACAAACTCTGCCTCCAAGAATGGAATATTGCATCTCAAATTGTAAAGTATTTGGAATAATCCCTCCTAACCGGCTAGTTTTTTATTATAAGGAAGATAGTATCTGGGTGTAAAAGTGTTTAATTCAGTCTGTATTCAATCTAAACCAATTACCAGGTATAATTCAGGTACATTTATTATGAAAATTTCAGTTTATGTAAATATTTGAATTTTACTTTTTTTTTCCCCAAAAGGAAAATGTAATATATTTGGGGAGTATTTTTTAAAATGTCATTTCAATATTCTACTTAACTGTTTCTTTCTCTGTTGGGAGAGTCCAGTAATTCATATATTTATTTGAGCCTTTTTTTTAATAGGTTGAATCAGGCATCATTTCAGCCACCTCCAAATGTAAATGTGTGTGGTATAGATTGGAAAAGTCATGTCCTCGTAGGAGATTACTCTTCTTCTGCACAATTCTATGTTACGTTTGCAATCTTTGTGTTCCTGTACTGCATTGCTGCCCTTCTGCTTTATGTTGGTTACATGAACCTATATCGGGATAGTCGTAAACTTCCGATGATTGTAAGTAATCACTTTATTTCTTTTTATACAAAAATAATTTATATCAGTTTAAGCTACCTATAAGTTATATTTGAAGTTAAATGTAGGTTTTCTTAGGCTGGAAATCGAATCTTGGAGTAAGCCAGTTCAACGTACTTTGGCCTGTGTTTGCCATGAGGTTGACCTTTCTCTCATTGTTAAGTTTAACCCAATTCTTTTAACCTCTTTGCATGCTCAGGAAAGTTTTTTTTTTTTTTAACTGTTTTAAGCTAGAAAAAATTCAGTTGTTTGATTATGCATATTAAGTTGCAAATAGCAGAAAAATTAGTTAGAAATTAACACCTTTAATTTGAAGAATTGCTGGCCATAGCAGTAGTCTCATAACTTTTTTTCTACTTCTCACCATTTTTCTCTTTCCTCGAAAGTCCCTTTTTTACCTCTACAATATCTTATTGACTTAGTTGTTTATATCAGGAATCAGCAAACTGTGGCACACAGATCTAATCTGACTCACTGTTTTTTTAAATAAAGTTTTTTTGGAACATGGTCATACTCAATTATTTACACATTGTGGCTGCTTTCATGCCACAGTGGCAGTTAAGTAATTATGAGAGATATTAAAAAAATCCTTACTATCTGGCCCTTTTCAGAAAAAGTTTGCTGACTCCTGGTCTATATTCCTAAACGCTTTAATTTAAATCTGACCCAGATAATTCTTATATTCAGCTATCAGTAGCATCCATGATCTAATTTTGAATCTTTGAGATGCCAACAGAGGATCTGGGTTTGAAGTCCTGATACCTTTCTTGGCTGTAGAGTCTACTGAGTTAGAAATAAAATAATCTTGGAGATTTAGTAAGTAGAGCCTGCTGTGGATTATCAGTGGCAAATCCAGAGATAAGCTATGGTTTTAAGCTGGATCTCCACTATAAAAGAATAACTACAAAATCAGTAGTAGTGCTGATGACTTGAAGGGAGAACAGAGGTATTTTGTGGTACTGGTCATTTATATCCATGAAAGAACACTGACATCTGCTAACTGTGAAGTTATTTTAAAGGAAAGTCTATTTAAATTTGAAATAATTATTAAATAAGATAAGTTTTATTTATTTATTTATTTTTATTTTTTGCTGCCTGGATCATAAGAATGCAAATGGTAAGTAAGGAATAAAACAGTCTTTTATCATTCAGATCTATTCTGTTTCTTATGTCTGAAAAGATAAAAGAAAATCAGATGTTTTCATAAAATATTTCTTGGTTGTTAAGTGCCTTTCAGAAAGATAGGACATCAACTATTTTAATTTGCAATGCTTATTCAATAACAGGAATTACATGTTAGCAATCTATAGCTTCTGCAGACTTTTCAAGCCTTTTTTAAAAGGGGACTAGGATGATCATATAGATTATCGTATTCTGTTAAATTTTTTTATAATTAGAAAATATTTCTTGCCATTTTGTCATCCCAACAAATTTTTTTTTATTAATCTAATAGTGGGCCCTTTATTTCTCATATTTTGTCTGGTAAACTTTTCAAATACTACACTTCTTCAAGCAACATTCAGATCTATTTTTGTAGAGGATTTTTCTTTTTTTTTTCTTTTTTTTTTTTTTTAAAAAGATGACCGGTAAGGGGATCTTAACCCTTGACTTGGTGTTGTCAGCACCACGCTCACCCAGTGAGCCAACCGGCCATCCCTATGTGGGATCCGAACCCTTGGCCTTGGTGTTATCAGCACCGCACTCTCCCAAGTGAGCCACAGGGCCGGCCCAGTAGAGGATTTTTCTGACTAATAAAACTATAAAACCAGTTTAGTTGCATCATTCAGAAAGTCAAAAGTAATTTTCCACCTCAGAGTGATCGATTAGTGGTTGTATAAAAAGGTAATCCAGAATTGATTCCTTAATTGGCTTTTTATTGATATATGATGGGTGCTCCTTATCTGTAAAGTTCAGCTTCTAAATTAAATTTTGAGTTCTATTTTTAATCATAAATATAAAAAAGTTTTATTGAGATACACAGATTTTTAAATATAGCCAAATAGACATTGATTTTTAGGTACTGTTTGTTAATGAGAACAAGCTTTCTTGGCAGTATTCTTGATTCTGTGCACAGAATCAATGGTATTTCTAGGCATATTTTAATTGTGAAATTTTAAATCTACTTTAGTTCTTTTTTGAATTAAATACAACACTTTTATGCATTAAGTAGCAGGAGCTTAAAGGTTCTAGGCAATGTGGAGAATCAGGAATACGTACCAGAAAATGAAACTAAACAAAGTAGGGTATCCCAAAACCTAAAAATCTGTTATGATTACATCTTAACTTATGGGTAGGAACAGAGCTGCTCCAGGCAGCTGCAGGCTGTGCATTGCAGAACTCCAGGTGGCACTGTTCACTTAGATTGTGGTGTGACTAGAGTCCTTAGTGGGACAAATATTATCTGCAGGGGCCAGAATTTTTCCTGTTTTCCTTTATCCCAGGGTTATTTTGTGCATCATTTTCAGAAATGTTCCTGCTTTCAAAATATAAGAATGTCAGGCCTTAAGCCATCATCAAAGTGGACTTAAATAGCATATATAATCAGAAAAAACCCAGCATTTTTAAATTAAGAATTTCGGGCCGGCCCGGTGGCGCACTGGATAGTGCGCCGCTTGGGAAGCGCGGCGGCGCTCCCGCCCGAGGGTTCGGATCACACGCACCCAAAAAAAGCTAGTAGGGAAACTTGCCAGAATTTGAACCCAGATCTGCCAAAACTCCAAAGTCAGACCATAATTGTGTCTCCCAGTGTGTAAATATCTATCAAATACTTTGTGCACATGTGTGAACATGCCAAACTTTGAATGATTTAAGTATAACCTGTATTTTAATACTTAGGACAGCATCATAAAATTAATTTCTAAATGAATATTGAAATTTATCCAGTTTCTATGTTTAGCAATTGGTGTTAATTTACCTCTCATAAGTGCTAGAAAGGTTCTACAATACCTCCTCCAGCCCTTTTATACTATTCAAGCTTTTTATTAGCCCTAATGTTGATTGCCTTCCCAGGGCATCTACTAGTTTGAGTATAATTTGTCTAATTAAATTTAAAGAAGAGATGTTTCAGGGAGCACCATTTCATCATTTCCTCTTAAACTCTATATTGTGACATATATTGGTCAAAGCATGAACTTTAGCCTAGAGAGAACTTGTTTAACATGTGATAACATCATATTATTTATCAGTTATTCTTTTAAAAGGTATTGAATTTCTAGCAAGTCTTTAGAAAATGTCTACCTTCAGCATAAAGTATAGTACAGCACAGCAGTAAAAAGGGGAATATTCTTTTTCTCTTTGATCTGCATTTTTTAAGAGGACCAGTAGCAGCAGAGGACTCAAGTGCGAAATGCAAATACCTCCATGTTTGTAAAATTAGTAATTGTTTTTGGTCATGTAATCACAAGGCATTTGTTCAGTGTCGTCTAGACCCAGGTGGGCAAGCTATATAGCATAGCTTCTGTATCTCATAAGAAATTACTCGTATTTATCCTAAATAATTGACTAAAAGGTGGCAGGCAAAATAATTAAACACTAATCAGGTTTATGTAAAAAATGAAACGCTTCTGTGATGAGCTCCAAGACCCATTCTGAGCTTGGAGAGATTTTTTGCCACAGATGTATAAGAGCTCCTACCTTAAATGTATCCATATGCTTAGAGTATGTAGCATCAAAAAGTTACAAATTTTGCACTATTCCCTCTTGGGTCATTAATTTGAATGAAGACCAAGCAAAGTGGGATTTATACTTTTATTATACAAATGTGTACGTAAAGTGTTTTTTAAATCTTTGTAATACTACTTGACAAAATTTTAGTTCCCCAACAGAGAGGATTGGGTAAGGAGAGTAAACATTTTTTTCCCTTTCTTTATCTTGTTAGCTCAATAAGAAACTATCTAAAATATTAAAACCGTCCATTCTATTCTTGGAAATGTGATAAATAGCAAAGGATTTAGTAGAAAGTTACTAGTGATAAGGTGTCTTGGGTGATTTTTTTTCTTAATGTAATGAACATTCTTAAAATTTATGGTCATGAATTTAAAAAGAGACAAGCTATCCTGTTGTGCTTTTCACCATTTCATTATCCATCTCATGGAGAATTAGATTTAACTAAATTTAGTGTTTTGTCAGAATAGTATGAGAAAGCAGGAGAAAGATAAGGGAGTTGAGAATATATGCAAGGGATTATAACGAAGGACCTTAGAATATACATTGATTAAAGGACATTAGTGAAGTTGAGACAGTAAAAAAAAAATAGTAGGATCAGACTGTAGGTCTTGGGGTCAAAGGACTTTGGGGATTGGGGTACCAGAGAGAGTGAGCTAAAAAGAAGTGATATGGGAGACTGATATGACCAAAACAGATTATACAGTTGTTGGTGATGACATGATCTAAGTTACAATCCCAGTAGTAAGTGGCTGAGGTAAGATTATGGTGAAGACTGTAGAACTTTGGTTTCTAGTGTAAAAATCTTAGACTCCTGAGGGGATGAGTGAGTCTTGTTTATTACTGTTACAAAGTCTATTACAAAGGCCATTTCTCAGTACCATAGGGTTGAATGTAATCTTAATTTCTTCATCATGGATTTGAAAATTAGTATTTTTAAATTGGCCTTTCATTATTAACTCGTACTTATTTTTGCTTTAGGATTTTGTTGTTACTCTCGTTGCCACTTTTTTATGGTTGGTGAGCACTTCAGCCTGGGCTAAAGCTCTTACAGATATTAAAGTAGCTACTGGTCACAATATTGTTCAGGAACTTCTGCCTTGTAAGAAGCAAGAAGCAATGTGTTATTTTGGCTCTGTGACTAGTATGGGATCCCTAAATGTATCTGTGGTATGTATACATTATTTATTAAAAAAATTTTATCATAAAAAGTCAAGCAATATAAAATTTTTTATTTTACTTATTAGAAAAATCTTACTAGCAGTTTAAGAAAACAGTTTTCAATAAATCTCTAGACGAATATATTGGTTTGTATTTTTACTAAGTTGTCAGAATCCTAGTTATGATATAGTTTTTACCTTTATAATAATGTGAAGGAAAAAGTTTGTTAAGAAAATTATTACCTGTAAACAAGATGATGATCAAGTCTTACTTTTTATTAAAATTGCTGAGGCAGGACTTACCTGAAAGGCACTGTCACTAACATTTATTGAAATTATATGCCAGGCATTGTACTAAGGGCTTTATACTCATATCTTGTTTATCCAACCATCCTAAGAGGAATGTGGAAGAAGGTATTATTATCTTCATTTTCCTACTGGGAGAAAATGTAGCAGGTGTTAATTTGCTCAAGGTAACACAAGTAGTAAATGGCAAGCCAAGAACTGAACCAGATCTTACTTTAGAGCCTGCTTTATAAATGTAACTCTCTTTGAGTATATGAAAGTAATGCTTTTATGGTTCTTAAATAATCTATAAAATTTAGTCTATATAAAGTGTTAAATATTATTTGTATGCTATTTTACCAAAAAAACATAAGCTTATTATTAAATATATTATTAATATGCTGATTATATGTTTAGGGAAGTCTCATGTCTTTTCAAGAAAATATTTTTTCCATTGGATGAAGTCAGCACTGCCTTAAAAAGCAGTTCGCCCAAATTTTTGTTTTATAACTTTGTAATTTAAAAGTCAGTTTTTTGCATTTATATTGACAGTACTCTGAACTGGATGATATCAGGTATGTTTTTGTATACAGATAAACAAAAAAAACAATGCATTTGGCCCTCAGCAATATGTAGTACTCTTGAGCTTCTTACCTCACTCTTACTTTATAAGTTACTATTATATTTACAAAGGACTTATTAAAATAGGGCAGCTTCAGTTTGTTCATATTTGAGACTTTCTTACATCTAGTCAGATCTATATCCAGGGAGATTAATTTCTTTTAGATTGACTAATGACAGATGTGAAGTAAACTTCTGTGACTCCTTTTTTTCTGGCTTCAGCTGGTGGATTGGACTAGAAGATATGGTAGTAGGGGGAGATAGGAGGGAAATAGGAAAGGTTACACAAGGGCAGTTTATAGCCATTCCAAATGGGAGAAAAGTGTAAGCCCTCATAAAAAGGACACGTGGATTCCTATTGTTCCTCTTTACCCTGAAGCACCAAAGTCTGAATACAAAGAAATAAAAGAAGGGTTTCATTTTCCTCAAATTAAATCGCATATTTTTGGTAATAATGAGCATGCAAAAATAAAATTTCTTTTAGTCATGATTTTATTTGTTAACAGATTTAGAGGTTTAGCTTGTTTCATTGGGAATAAATAATGTATCCAAGTTTTGTACACTGAAATACAAAAATACAAAGTCTACCTTTTTTCTTCTACTTTGTATATACAATAGTATTAAACTTTAAGGGAAATAATGGTGTACTGCCTAAAAATGTTAAATACTTAAAGGAAAACTAAGATTTTTTAAGTAAGACATGAGTTTTTAAGTAAGTATTAGATTTTTATATTTATTTTTCTCTTTCATAGATCTTTGGCTTTCTGAATATGATACTTTGGGGAGGAAATGCTTGGTTTGTGTACAAGGAGACCAGCTTACATAGTCCATCAAATACTTCTGCTTCCCATGGCCAAGGAGGTATTCCACCTCCTGCTGGAATGTAATTAAAGGGAAAAATACACTGTATGAAATACATGTCTGTACTATGACTTGTTGCCAACACCTTGAGAAGCATTATTTGTTTCTAATAAAAGTAATGGCTTTTTCAGTAAACTGGTGGGTTTAAAATTTTGCTGCTTATTTACATAAAGCCTGTGCCTTTCCTGGAAATTTAGGATGTAAATGTATTCTCACATGTAAATTTGAAAGTTCAGAGCCTATTATAAAATTACACACATTTTTAAATGAACAGTAATTTTTCCACTAAGTTGTTTGCCTTCCAGTGTTTACATCTTAAGCCTTAACACATATCTTCACTCAGAAAACAGTCACATTGTCATATCATTATAGCAAGAAAAATCTTTACTTGGAATATACACTACTGTAAGTTTGTACAGAGCACATACGTAAGACCTATCTTTGTTTAAGAAAGCCTTGATTATACAAATTGTAATTAGAAAAAACATATTTCAGAATTTATATCTGAACATTGTTCATGTTATGAAAATTTTTTAACTGCAGGACTGGGGTATATATATTATTTCTATTTTTCGAAATGACCTCCTGTACTTGATAGGTGAACTAAAATTGTGCTGGGAGCAGGGATTTGGAAATTCTAATAGATGTGTAGTTAATTTAGTAATTGTGCTGTATGAGGTGTAAGCTTCCATTATGCTGGTGGTTTAATAGTCTTGCTATATAATTAGAAAGAACATGGTTCAACTAGATATATTTAAATGTATGGGCATTACTCTTAGTGATACTTGTTTGCTGTCCTTTTTTGTTCATGCTGTTAAAGCACAGGCTGAGACCTGGTCTCCGTGCAAGTAGAGTAAAAATCCACCCTTTTCTGCAGACCCTATTCAGAGGATTAAAAGGATTAAGATTGCCTTTTTTTTAAAGCATTTGACAGTTAGAGCCAATGAAGTTATTTTGAGTTTAGCATTGATATTGTGAAAATAAATGATTCAGATTTCATTTTTCATAATGTTCATTCATATTTCACAAATGGATGATTAAGGAATTATGCATCATAAACAAAGAAACCTAAGTGAGTGATATTATGGGTGTACTGTCTTTGCACACACATTTGGGTATATTTTGAATACAGGGCTTATTCACATTTTGCTTCTTAATCTTTTTGTTGTACAGGGATCCACATTTCCTATTCTAACAACATGATTGTTTATATGTGAAGCACATCTTGCTATTTACTTATTTTTGTTGCTTTTGTTCATGACCAGAATTGTCAATATGAGAATGTATATCTTTTATGAAACCAACTTAATAAAGAAGTTGAAAGAAAGAGTGCACTGATTGTTATATTACAAAGAAACTTTCATCTTGAAGGCATGAGCACTGCAAAGTGGAACTGATTTTCAAATCAGGAAATAAAATGACAATAGTTTTTTTTTTAATGTTTGGCAAGGAATAAAATAGACAAAAATGCTTTGAGGACCTTGGTTCTATCCTTTTTTCTTTCTCTTATTTTTAAAATACTTATTTCTAAGTCTCAGGTTGTTTTCCTTTTAAACCTTTTCTAATTGACTGTCCAATTAGGCAGCAAAGTTTCCTGATTAAGTGTATGCTCTGGAGCCAATCTACCTGGATTTGAATCTTATCTTCACCACTTAATAGCCAATTAAGTTTAGGCAAATTACCCTCTGTATGCCTCAATTTGCTTATCTGAAAAATGGAAATAATAAGAGTACTGACCCCAAAAAGGGTTTATGAAGATGAAGTGAGTTAGTAAATGTAAAGTGTTTAAAACAGTTTTCAGCATGTAACGTTACCTATGATTACTAACTTTTGACAGCATCTGATATAGAGATTCTTAACCTTGAGTTCATGTGGCTGTAAGGAAGAGGGTGATGGTCTTGGGCAGAGGAGCCAGATAAGCTCAGGCTTACAAGCGTCTCCTTTATATACCTTACAGAGTCCTGGATTTTTTGCTGTATTTGTTTTTCTCTTGGTGGTAGATGTTCATAAAGTTAATGAGATTAAAAGTTAATAGGCTATTGATATTAGAGTAAATTTGGAAAGGAGTTGTTACCTTTTCATTCCCAGCTTTTAAGTTAACATTACAGTGTTAAGGAACTTACAGGATAATTTCCAGGACAGAAGCAATAAAAGCTTTGACTTAACTAGGTGATGGGTTGTAGAGAATTATTTAAAAATAGATGGTTATTACTAATATTTTTGTGAATACAAGTTACTTGGGTAGAGATACTTAAAATAATTTTTAACCTACTATAAATATTAAAGCACTGTCACTTGTTATATTCTGTGTGTTTCATACTTTTTAAATTTTTAATTATGTAGTATTTCAGATAAACAGATAAGTATATAAAATAATATATAAAAATGCTTTATTTGCATCAGTTTTTTTAAGAAAATAAAATATTACAGATACAGCCTTTTCTTACTGAGGTACAGTTAGATTTTTCCTACCTTTCTCTATTACAAATAGTACAAAAGTATCTTCTGAAATGTGTGAAGGCTTCTCTAGGATGTATCACTAGAAAATGGAACTGTTGGAATGTGTGATATTCACATTTTCAATTGTAACCTGGGTATTACAAAACTGTCCAGCAAAGTGCTTGTGCCATTTAGTCTCCCACCAGCAATATGTAAGAGTTCCTGTTGCTCCATATTCTTGCCAATATTCTTACCAATACTTGTGCCAATCAGATGATTTTGAAATAGTGTCTGATGTTTCTTAATTTGTGTTTCTTTGTTTGCTATTGAGGTTGATGACCTTTTTCTGTATGTATTGACCATTTGGTTTCCCCTCCTCTGTTTTGCCTATTTGTATCTGTATTAGTCTGTTTTCTCTCACTTATAACAGAGTACCTAAAACTGGGTAATTTAGGGGAAAAAGAAAATCTATTTCTTACAGTTTTGGAGGCTGTGAAGTCCAACAACAAGGGGGCACTTCTTGGTGGGTACTCTCCACAGAGTCCTGTGGTGACACAGGGTTTCACATGGCAAGGAACTGAGCAAGAGTGCTTCCACATGCTTTCTTCCTCTCCTTATAAAGCCACCAGTCTGCTCCCTAATAACCCATTAACTCATTAATTCACGAATGGATTAATCCATTCATGAGGGCATAGTCCTCGCCTCTAAAAGGCCCAACCTTTCTAATCCCATTGTCTGATTTCCCACCCTTTTAACCTTGTCGCAATGGGGTTCAAGCTTCCACGTGAGCTTTGGAAGGGACAAACATTCAGACCACAGGCAGTATCCTTTGCCAATTTTTCTGTTGTGATGCTTTTTTTTCTGTTGATTTGAGATGCTCTTTATGTATTCTTGATATTAATCTCTTGACATTTATATAGGTTGCAAATGTCTTCTCCCTGCTCATGGCTTGTATTTTCACTTTATGATTTTTGTCATAAAAAAGGCTTTTTATTTTAATATTAATTATTTTTCTCATGGTTTGTGCCTTTTATGTCTGAAGTCCTCTTCTCAATATCATGAAGATACCTATGTTTTCTTCTGAATATGTTTTGTTTTTCACTTTTAAGTTTTTAGCTATTGGAAAAGTATTTTTGTATATAGTTTGTGGTTCCTTCCTAAGTTGTTATAATTTTCAGTACTCATAATACCCTTTATTTAATTATTCATCTTTTATTCACCTCTGTCATATATCAGATTTTCATATTGTTTGTCATCCTTTCTATATGCTCTTCAGCCATATCTAGCCCTATCATTCTTTAATTATAATATATTGCTTTACATAAGAATTACTATCTGATAGGATGAACATCAGAGCATCATCTTTACTCTTACAACAGTAAGAGTATTCACAGCTGTCCTGGCTATCTCGAAGCCCTATATTCTTGTATGAATTTTAGGAACACCTTGTCTAGTTTCTAAAATCCTTTGTGGGATTTTATCCGAAAAGATTTGCATTGGAAATAGATCTTACAGATCAATTGGGGAGAACTGTCTAATACTGAGACTTTGTATTTATGAGCATGGTATATCTATTTATATTTTTTATGCCCTTCAATAAAGTTTTATCATTTTCTACATAAAGATTTAAGATTTACATCTGTCTTGTAGTTTTTGTTGCTATTGTACAAAGTAACATTTAAATTATATTCTAAATTGTAATTGTTTATTGCTGGTATACAAGATTATTGCTGATTTTTATCTGTTGATTTTCTACAAGGCAGCCTTTCTAAACCCTTCATTAATTTTAATAATATGTAGATTCTCCTTTTTTATGTGAATAATTATATCATCTGCAAATAATATTGTTCATTGTGTTTGGAAATTAAACACTTTTTCTCTTATTTATATGATAATTGTCATTAAAATCTATAAAAAATAGAAAATATATACCTATTTGAAAACACAATAGCTGTAATTTTGTTTCAGTATAGCATACTGAACCTCAACTATACAGTACATTGTGTCTTGGTCATTCTAGTAATATATAACATTTGATCAATAATTCTTATGTCGTGAAACAGACAAGTGGAAAATACCAGGTGAATTAAGCTGATCAAAATAAGGTAATACTTTTATATAACACTGTCATACAGAGTATATTTCTTTTTTTTTTTTTTTTTTTCCTTTTTGTCTTTTTTCGTGTCTGGCAACAGATCATAACCCTCAGTGTCGTGCCCGTACCGGACCGGGGCCGGCAACGGGATCGCAACCCTCGGTGTTGCACCCACACCTCGCTCAGCCAGTGAGCGGGAACCGGTCTGTATGTGGGATCCGAACCCTCGGCGGGAGCGCCACCGCACTCCCAAGCGGCGCACTATAACAGTGCGCCACCGGGCCGGCCCACAGAGTATATTTCTTATTGTTACAATTCGTTTGGATTTTGTCTGTACAAGAATAATATTTACAACTGAAGCCTTCACTCGTTGATTTTTTAATCGTATAGTTAATTAGATTTTTAAAAGTTTTATTCCAATGTAATTAACATACAATAAACTACACATATGAAAGTATAAGTCTTGAAATATATATATGGTGAAACTGTCACCACATCAAGATAATGAACATATCAACTACCCTAAAAAATTTCCTCCTGCACCTTGGTAATCCCTTTCACCTGCCCATCCCACTTATTTCCCAGCAACCATTAATCTTTGTCACTAGGTTAGTTTCTAGAGGTTTATGTAAATGGATTCATACAGTATTCATTCTTTCTGTCAGGCTTCTTTCACTCCACATAATTATTTCGAGATTCATTCATGTTGGGCCTATCAACAGCTCATTCCTTTTTTTATTGCTGAGTGTTCCTCCGTTGTGTAGATAACCACAACTTGTTTATACATTCGCCTGCTGGTAGATATCTGGGCAGTTCTGAGCTTTGGGCTAATACAAATAAAGCTGCTATGAACATTCATATAAAAATCTGTATGGACCAGGGCTGGCCCGTGGCTCACTCAGGAGAGTGCGGTGCTGATAACACCAAGTCAAGGGTTAAGATCCCCTTACTGGTCATCTTTAAAAAAAAAAAAAAAAATCTGTATGGACAAATGCTTGCTATTGGGGTTAAATATGAGGGTACTTCAAAAATTTCATGGAAAAATAGAGTTAAAAGATAATATGAATCTCTCTATAGATTTTAACTTGTCAAGAACCTGTTAACATTCCCACCAGCAGTATATGAGAGTCTAGTTGATTTACATCATCAACATGGGGTATAGTCAGTCTTTTTAATTTGTGCCATTCTAGTAGGTGTGTAGTGGTATCTCAAGGTTCTAATGCTGGATATAAGTCCATTTTTGGACTTTTTTTATTCTCATTGTTTCAAAGAGCAGAAGTCTTTAATTTTGATGAAGTCAAATTTACCATGTTTTCCTTATGGATTGTGCTTTTGGTGTTATATCAATTAAACTTTGTATAATCCAAGGTCACAAATACCTTCTATTTTATAGTTTTGGGTTTTAAATTTAGAGCTGTGGGTCTATTTTGAGTTAAACTTTTATATATGGTTCAAGATATTGATCAAAGTTTTTTTGTTTTTGTTTTTGTTTTTATTTTGACATATTGATAGCCAATCGTTCCAGCACCATTTGTTGAAAAGCTATCCTTTCTCCACTAAATTGCCTCTGTACTTTTGTCTTTATATATGGACAAAAAAATCAGTTGTCCATATGTATGTGGGTTGATTTTTGCACTCTAATTCTATTCCACTGACCTGTTTATCTTATGTGGCTGCCAGTACCACACTATCTTGATACTGTTGCTTTATAGTAAGTCTAAAGTTAGGTAATGTTAGCCCTGCAACTTTATTCTTTTCAAGTTGTTTTGGCTACTAGAGGTGATTTGCATTTC